AAAGGCAAACTACAATCTGACGTCCTGTCATAGGTCTGTTTGCTGGACACCTGTCATAGGTCTGGACTTTCAAATTCTAAAGCAGTGCCAGGAATTTCACAGGCCTTCAGACCTACAAGTGGAGTGGAAGGCAAAATCGGCAAGTACTGTTTTTACCAGGTATTACTGGTAAGATTGCTGGTCTGCATTGCCATTTGACATTGGCCCAGCTGGTTGCTCTGGGGAGGGGTGGGCAGAAAAATCAGCCCATCAAGCCTCCCTGCCTCTCTCCCTAAAAGTAACAGCCACAGGCTCTGGGGAACACGGCGCGAAAACCACAGAAAAGGGAGGCCACCGCTGGGCCTTTGCTGGTTGTAAGGCAGTGATTCTACTCGAGGGGAAGTGGGAGGCATGTGAAACTCCCTGCTCGGCGCACCCCAATCTATCCACCCCCAGGCAGAGGGCTGAGAATGTCTCACGGCAAGTAGTCACCTTCCAACACCCTAAATCTGACCAGGCCACGCTTGCCGTCTACAGGCCCTGAAGGACCCAGCCGCTGACCTCACCCCGCAGGCCTCTGTGCAGCCCGCCCTGCACCTAGCAAGCTGCGCCCCCCTCTGGACCTTTGCACCGTGGTCCCCCCACCTGGGAGGCTGCTCCTTCTCATCACATCCCACATGACTGCCTTACCCTGCCAAACCGGGATCAGCTCAGAGGTCTTCCGCGCAGCCACCTCTAAAGCAGCACCCGGCCAGTCACCTGACTGGATTCACTGCCCATGTTTCGGGTGGGACTCCCTTAGCTACACGAGGCAGGGACTCTGACGAGTACACTGTCCTATCCCCAGCACCTGATGCAATGGCAGGCATACAGTAGGTGCTCAATAAATGGCAGTGGAGGAATGAAACTCTATCCTCAGCTCCTCAATGTCCTCAGGATCAACCCACACCTCTCACCCAGGCCTACCTGGCCCTGCGCGGTGCGGCTCCTGCCGACTCCCCCACCCACACCCACCATTCCCGCCATTCCCCTCCCAGGGTTATGGTGGAGATGCAATAAATGCACAGAAGAATAAATAAAGCTTAAAGCCTGACATCCGAAAAGGATCTTGAATGTCTACCTTAGAGGGGCTCAGAGAGAAGGAGGGGGCCTGGGAGCCGCACTGGTCAGTTTTTCCTTGGTTGTGTGTCTTCCTCCTCTGTTTCTGCATCTGGAAAATGAAGATGCTCATTTCTGCCCTGCCCTCTTCCTGGCATTCTCTGACAAGGTTCTATAAACCGGCAAGGCAAGGGCCTTCAAAGTCCTAGCGGAAATAAGAATTCCAGACCTGGCGCAATGGTTCACACCTATAATCCCAGCACCTGGGAGGCAGGAGGATGCCGTGAGGCCAGCAATCTGAGACCAGGATGGGCAACACAGTGAGACCCCACCTCTACATAAAAAATTAAAAGAAAAAAATTAGCCATGTGGTGGCACACACCTGTGGTCCCAGCTACTCAGGAGGATTGCTTGAGCCCAGGAGTTCAAGGCTGCAGTGAGCTAGGCTGACACCACTGCACTCCAGCCTGGGCAACAGAGGGAGACTCTGTCTCTAAAAAAATAAAAATTAAACAAATTTTTAAAAGAATTACAAATTCCTAAGATATATGGAGGGCTCCCCATGTGTCCCACACTCTTCTTAAATAGCCAGATGTTTTTAGTAGGCCTCCTATTATGCCACACAGTGGTGAATGCTTTCCACAAATCAGCCCACCTAACCGTCACAACAGCCCTATCAAATGAGAATTATCACCCCCGTGACAGATGACAAAACGAGCTCAGAAGGGTTGAGGGGCCTGCTCAAGGTCACACAACCATAGGGTGGCAGGGCTGGATTTGAACCCTGTGCTCTGAATTACTTCAGTGTGGCTCTTTACAGAGGCTGGAAATCAGTACATCGAAGTCCTGGATCCCAGCAGAGGGGCTGGATCATGAGAGGACTCATGAGAGGACAGGGGTGAGGGAGGCTGAATATCTTGGTCCCATGACATAACCATGACCATCAACTGAGACTTACACAGCCTCAGGCACCATTCTAGGAGCTTCCCTTGGATTAATTCCTTCAATCCCCACAATAGCTGGAGGTGGGTGCCCTTCTGACACCACTGTACAGAGGTGAACACAGTGGCCCAAGGTCACACAGCCAGAACATGAAAGCACCAGAACCCACTTCACCATCCTGCCTCTGACATGGGTCCCTGGTAGCTGTATCACTCCCCGCATGATCTCTTGCTGTCTTCTGCTCCCAGCACACACCTGCCCAGGGTTAACAGATGCCCTGGCTCAACTCTGAGGAGTGACCAAGAAAAGGCGACTGGCTGCAGGAAGAGGTGCTCATGGCAGCCCGAGGCTCGAAGGTGAAGGGAAGGAAATGCCCAGGGCATGGGGCAGAGGTGACAGAAACCCACTCTACCCTGGGACCTAGTGAGCAAAGATTGCATGGCACTAGGGGCTCACTAACCTAGGTTCAAACCCTACCCTGGTCCCCTAGGGTCTGATAATACCTGGGATAAGGAAAGCAGGTCTTCCTCTGAGCCTCAATTTCTGACTCTGCAAAAAGGACACAAACCCCATATAAAGGCCCAAGCCCAGGGCTGGGCACAGAGTATACGCTCACAGACAAAAGCCACTGCTCAAGTTACTCGTCGACAAGAGGATCACTCTGAGGCCAGGATAGGCCAAGGGCTCATATCACAGCTCCACCACGTACAGCTATGAGACCTTGGGGAAAACATTTCAATTGACAGCAAGTATCTCAGTCTTCTCATTTGTAAAACCCGTATCATACTTCTAACTAGCTCATAGGACTCTACAAAATAGGACTAACCACAGGTATATTTTGAGACTTAGGAGGTCACGCACACAAAAGGTCTGTCACATGCCTGGTGAATGCTTAGTAAGCACTGGGTATCCACTAGCTCTGGAAACAGTTTGCCTCTCTGCACCACAGGTTTCTCGTCTAAAAAGGAGATGGTAACAACAGTACCTACCACTCTAGAACTCAAGTAGGCGGCAAGTTTATCTATGTGAAGCACTCTGAACAGTGTATGGCCCACAGAATGCACTCAATGAACGTCAGCCATCACTTTTGTGATTATTGTTTTTATTGCTGTTGTTAACCCCCTCAGGCAAACCCTCTAAAACCTGGCAGAAGGAAAGGACCAGAGGACCAACCCCCTAGGGGAGGAAAACCCTACAGAGCCACCACTGCCTCGCACAGACTCAGAGACCTTTCTCTCCAGGAGACATGACCCATGGAAGCCAGTGAGCTTGGAAGCCACTGCTGCAGATGGGAGGCAACCACTGCCCCCTCTGACCACATCACCAGCCCAGGTCAGCTGGGTCAATCAGGGACTGCAGCCAGCCCTCCGGGAACTCCAGACCCAGGGCAAAGGCTACAAGGCAAGCCAAGGTCACAATCTGGCTCAGGGAGCAGAGGCACTGGCCACACACACCTGGGGGGTTACTCCAAGCACCAGTACAGCAACCACAATGAGAAACCAGATCCATGGAGGATATGACTGTCCCAAGCCCTTCAACGTAGCCTTCCTCCCCAGGCTGGGCTCGGCCAGAGGTACCCCGCTCCAAGTCCCCTTGGCCTATGCAAAGAGGAACAGCTGGGAAAACAGCCCTCAGCTTCACTGGGAGGCCAACTGTCACTGCCTGGTGGGGAGTGTAAACACGATGTGTGGCTGAGCTGGTAACCGGGAGACACAAACAGCCTCGTGGCCAGGGATGGAGGAGCCTGCAGTGGTCTGTGTTGGTTCCTGGCCCCTTCATTCCCACTGCCAGCCAAGGTCAGGTCCAGACTGAACTCCTGCTGCTTCTCTGAGAGGGAAAGAGTGGACAAGGTGGAAAAGCAGCCCACTGAAGGCCCTAATTACTCCAGCCTAGGACTCTTGCTGAGCCCCAAGAAGTCTCCAAATGAGAGGAAGGGGTCCTCAGAATCCTAAGGCTCAAGATGTCCCCACCCACCTTGCCCCAAAGGAAGAGGGGTCACTGCAAACACTCCTTCCTCCCAACCCTGGTCAAGCTGGTCCAGGAGCACAGCTCCTCAAATCCAAGCCCAATACCCTCTTCCCCTCCAAATATGGAGCATAAAGCTCAGAGAACTTCAGTGACTTCTAAGGCACCCTTTCTCTCAGAGTGTGCCGTACACACCTTAAAATAAGGCGAAATAATCAGAGAGGGAGGGTTTTGGAGTCAAAAACAGGCAATCCCATGGTTCAAAGACCCCAGGGACACCCCCACACACACACCAAGTCATTAAAGTTTCAATAAAGGGTGAGCTCAATATAAACCTCTATACATCAGATCAGGAAGCAGAAGCCCCTCCTCATCACTGGGTATCACAGTATTCCCAAAATACGCCCCTAACCACCCATGGAAGCTGTCCCGCCCCCTCCCAGTCCGTCAAAGATAACAAACATCACAGCCCTCCCGATACAGCGCTCCTCTACGCTGTAAGGATGGCTCCCCCCAGCGCCTTGGTGGTATAACCCAGAGAGCCTACCCCAGCCACACTTGGTACAGCCCCCTCTCCAGAAGCCCCTACCCCTCTATATACACCATAGGAACGGCCCACACAGCGCCAGAAAGGTACAGCCCTTTACACTTCATACGGCGCGGCCCTTCAGTGGTTTAGCCCCCGCACACCAGGCACGACTGTCCCCAAACCCCTCCGGCTCAGCCCCCAGCTCGCACACGCTCGAGCCTGTGCTCAGCGGTTCGGTCCTCGCACACTTGATATGCTCCCCCCGCCACTTCAGTGGTACGGCCCGCCGCCCCCGCCCCCGGCCCCTCAGGGCTGGTCCCACCGCCCCCGCTCAGCCACCCCCACTCAGTTCCGGAAGGGGGGGCTCGAGGTCCGCCGTCCCCACCCGGCGGACACCGGTGGTACGGCCCATCGCGGCACTGCGGGGGGCCCGGACGCGACCATCGCGGGGGGGGGAGCGTTCGGGGACACGCGCTGGCGCACTCACCTGTCACCGGCGGCCGCCCAGCCTCTCCGGCGGGGCTCTACCCCCACCCATTGCCACGCTGCGCTCGCTCTCGCTCCTTGTGTCTCCTCGCGGCAGCTACGGCGGCGGCCGCGGCGGCAGCGACGCCTTCCCAAAGCCAGGCCCAACGGCTCGCGCGGCGCGGCCCCCCCGCCCCCTCCCCCCAGCCCCCGCTCACCGCCCCCTCCCACCCTCTGGCCGGAAATACCGCCTTCTCCTGCCACAAACAGGAACTGACGTATAGAGAGCGAGCGGTGGACTCGGAGAGCTCGAGAGCGCAAGCGCAGGGCAGCTTAGGAGGCGGGCTCACAGCGGGGCGCCTGCGCACATTAGGCAATTTAGGGCCGACGTCAGGCCTTGCTCTGGCGCGGGACGGAAAAAATAGGATCGCGCAGGCGCAGTGGACTCCGCCGCCTGCTTTCCCCAGAGGCTCGCCGCAGTCATTGTTTCCCAGCAGCCCCAAGTTCTTATTTACAAATGCTTTTATCTGGTTTTACTCCGCTCGAGCCTTTACTCCCGGTTCCAAGGCTCTTAAAGACCCACGAGCGGGAGTTAGGAGGGGTTTCCCTTAGCAATGTGTCCGTCACGGTTGAGCTCAGGTTCTGAAGCCACACAACCCCAGGTTTGAATTTCCTCCTTGCTGGTGACTGTGGGCAGAAGGCTTGACCCTTTTCTCTGCCTCTGTGTCCACATCTGCAAAATGGAAACACTCATAGCTGCGTCACTGGGCTGTTGGACTATTTTATGTAAACGGAACGGTTTTTATCAATTAGTCTGTGATTTCAAGATATTAATGCCACTTGCTCATCATATATATTCAAATGAATATGGGATATAAATTTTTTATGATGCAACGTGGACTCATAAAGGTCTTAAAATCGCCCTGCAAGAAAAGAGGTTTGCACAGATCCTGGCTGGTATATTAGCTAGTGTACAAGACAGCTGTTGAGACTTCTGGCTCCTAGTCCTTTCTCTCTCTGATTGGTTGGGAGGGGATTGCTGCCTTCTGAATGTGGGTTCCAGTATGCCACATAGCTTGGCAAGTATGCATGGGTGAGAAAAATGCCTGGCGGGGAGTTGAATCCAGAAATGTCAGTCTGTGAAAGTGTTTCAGGCAAGTCCTGCTGAGGGCTGGACCTTACTTTCCTCAGAGGTAAACCTAGTGCTGGAACTCGCCCTTATATAATTGGTTTCCAGCTTCGAACTCATCAATTTGCATTCCTATTTCACAGCCTTCCCCCATCAGTCATTGTTGATAACTGACCAATGCCTCCCCGTCACAGCCCTGATCATTTTAGTCCATTACTGTCTGGTTACAGGTCTGTCTCGCCCACCATAACAGGCCTCATAAGGGAAGAGACCAAGACTGTCCCAGTTGTCACTGTGTACCCAACACTGCCCAGCAAAGGTTCCAACACAGATTGGGCTCTCAGGGAATATTTGTTTCAAGAATTAGCCCTTCTGTTGTAATCTAGACTCAAGGTTACTGTGATCTACCCTCTTCACTCCTGTCTCTGCTGAACAGCTCACAGCCTGTTCCCCCTACTTCCAAGGTCTCTCTGAGCTACCTTGCATCCCTGCCCCTCCTAGGGCACATGATGAATTACAACACTCTTAGATCTCACTGAACCTCCTATATGCTCCTTGGGGCAGTGGTAGGGCTGATGGCTGTCAAACTGGCTGTAGTAAGACTTACTACACATATATGTATACGTAAAGTACAGTGAAATAAAACTATCAGCAAATGCTATTTACCGTTATGCATGATGCACTCTGATATTTAACGTTCTTTTTATTTCAATTCTGAAACCCTGCTAAACTCATCTTCTGACCCAGAAATGGGCTGTGCCTTGCAGTTTGAAAAACACTGGTCTAGGGAGTAAACAACACTCACTGGCTTTGGAGATGGGTAAACCCAGGTTCTAATCACACCTTTCCTGTGTCCTTGTCAAAATAACTTTACTTCTCAGAGCCTGCCTTTCCTTATTCTATTAAAACAGTATTAATAGAATTCATTTAGCAATTGTTACAGGCCAATTTCTGTGCTTAACATACTCCCACCAATGCTCTGCTGTTGCTATCTACACAATAATCTTGGAAGTATAACAGTACATTAAAGGGCTTAAGTTCCCAGGAAAAGTTAGGGGTGTGCTTTTAACTCATTTCATGCTGGAAAATGGAAAAGTATTGGCCCTACTTCTTCTATGCTCTCTGTTGCTTTGGCAAACGGCCTTGTTATCTTTTGGAAGCCTCAGTCTCTCAATTTCAACATCAAGGGTAATTGAGGGAGCTCAGGAGGCTGAGGCGGGAGGATTGCTTGAGGCCAGGCGTTTGAGACCAGGCTAGGCAACATAGACCCTATCTCTAACAGAAAAAAGAAAAAACTTAGCCGGGCATGATGGCACACACCTGTAGTCCCACCTACTTGGGAGGGTGAGGTGGGAGGATTGCTTGAGCCCAGGAGTTTCAAGGCTGCAGTGAGCTATGTTCCTGCCACTCCACATCAGCCTGGGCAACAGAGGGAGACCCCCATCTCTAAAAAATAATAATAAAAAAAAAAGTTTTAAGAAGTGGGTAATTGAGAAAATTCCCTACAACCCCAAATCATTCTCTTCCCTCTAATCTATTCCATGCACTCCCTACCCATAATTATAAATATGGGCTGCACATGTACTTTTCTGGGGAGAGTGGGCCAATAAATTCTCATCAGAAGTTGCTCAAAGGCCAAATAATTCAAGAAAAAAATAATTTAAGGATCCTGCCCTGAGGGATGAGGAGGATATCTCTTCAAAGCCCTTTTCTGTCTCCAGGGAGCAGAAATCAGACTCTGGAGTCCATTTCAACCCTTCTCACACAGATTGGGTTCTTGGTGGCGACTAGACAAGCTGTAGGAACCAGCCACAAAGAATCTCCTCACAGCTCCAAATGGGACAGCTTTTACTCCATCCCTACAAGGTCTAGGGGTCTATTCCTGGTGGTGATGGAGGAGTCCATGGAGAAAAACCCTCCCTTCTGTGTGGGCAGGAAGAATCAGGATCCCCTTTCTCTCATCCTAAGTACTGTGTCTTAAAGGAAGAAAGTCTGCAGCATTGATCAAGTTCTCAAAAAAGTCTGGAACAATTAAAGAAATCATTTTTATTTTTTATTTAAAAGGGTTTCTCTCATGTTATAAAGAAATGTTGAAATAATATCTTTGATTCCCCAGCCAGAAGTTACTAAGCCACCCCCCACCCCCCAACAAAGATGCTACTGTTTTGGGAAGATCCTTTTAGAGTAATGTTATGTTTGGCAGCAGTACAGATAAGCCTCAGGGAATCTGCAAATGTTGGTTCCAATTTTTTTATAAAATATGTTTCCAACTCTATAAAAAAAGTTTAATAGAAGACACCATGCACATTTAATTTTCTAATACAGCAGAGATTCTCAAAACGTTTAAGTGGCTAGACTAACGTACCTTGGAATAAAGTTTTTTCTACACTCATAAGATCAAACACCATATTAATCTGCCTCCAACACAAAGATGCTTTCCCATTCCATGTGGAATAAAAGCCAGAGGCCTTACCATGGCCTTCATGGCCCTATGTGAGCTGTCCCTGCCTGTCTTTCTAACTTCATCTTGAGCTACTTTTGTCCTTGGCCCATGTTCCAGGACACTAATCTCTCTGTCCCTCCATAAAGACAAGCCTCAGTGCATTAGCACTTGCTATTCCTTCTGCCTGGACTCTTCCTGTCCCTATCCTGATCTTCACAGGACAGGCTCCTCCTTCCCTTTCACAACTCAGTTCAAATCTCACCTCTTTGGAGCTTTCCCTGGCCACCCCGAGTCCCAAAGAGCCATGCTGTCACTATCTGTTTAGCACATTTGTATTCCCTACCTAGAACTTAATACTTAAAGATATTTTCATTGTTTATTTTGTAACTGTCTTCTCCAAAACCTGAATATGAATTTGCTTGTGAGGATAAAGATCTTGTCTTGGGCACCTCTGTATTCCCTGTCCCTAAAAGAATGCCTGTGAGAGTTCAGGAAATGCTACCCCAAAATATGCCACTATGGTATGCTGATTACTTCAAACTGAGGGCACGCAGGGGAATAGCAAATGCAGGGAGGGCTTTCTCTGAACTTCTTTTATCTGCTTAAATATGGATCCTCCAAAAGGAACACAACTGTCATGAGTCCCCTCTGTAGGAATCTTCTCAACCAGGGAAGATGAACTCAGATTACAGGAGAGGACAGTGGAAGTTGACACCATGCCCAGACAGTCACCTATTCTTCTGACAGCTGCTCCAAGACAACTTTTCTTACCTGACTTTCAAGCTGCACAATAAGACCCCTTCACCATACAGTTTCTCCCCTTGCCCTCCCACAACTGATGTGGCCACCACCTCCCAGAAGCCCCAGCCAGGCCCCTATTCCTTCCTGCAACTCAGGATGCTATATAAGCTTCAATCATCTGACCCTTCTTTGAATCTCACATTTTGTGGACTCCATGTGTATGTACGCAATCAAAATGGCTTTTTTTCCCTCCTGTTAATCTACCTTGTGTCGATCTAGTTTGGAGCCCAGGCAAAGAACCTAGAAGGGTGGAGGGAAGCCATTTTTGACTCCCCTACAGCTTCTGGTGCCCAGTGTGGGGCATCCTTCACTTGCTGGGACACTGTTTGCTCCAGGCTGCCGCAGCTGCAGGATCCTGGCATCCCTGGCAACACTCTGGCCACAGGGAAGATTTCTTACTGCCTCAGGCTCCCAGATCTCTGCAGGTCAAAAACGAGAGTAGTAAGAATCTCTTTTTCCCCTTCTAAGTTTGGATTAGCAGGAGAAAACATTTATAGTTCTTGTATAATCGCTCTGGTGGGTTTTTGTTTTTTGCTGGGGGCTGTGAGTATACTTATTTTATGATTCCTTTTCTCCCAGAGATGGTCATTATTTTCCTGTGTCTCTGTATTTTGTGTTATGTGTAATAAAGAAGAGAACCGCAGGGCAAGAACACAGGCACAGGACCTTATAAGCCTGTGGTTCAAGCCAGGCTCACAGACTGGTAAGTTCACAGTTCTCACCAGACCAGCATCGGGTTAGACGAACTCTGCTGTGAGTCCCCAAAACAAAAAACCAGATGGGATTCTCCTTCTGTCTTATGTCCTGAGAGCTTGGCTTTTCTCGAGAACACGCTCTCTAGTCTCTGCCAGTTGGGGAGCACAAGAGTAGCCTTGCATTGGCAGCCAGTCCAATAGGCTGGAAGCCTATGACAATAAGTGACAAGCAGCATTCTTTGTCCAATTGTGCAAGCTCTCAGGGGAGTTTGTCTTAATAAGAGGTTCCAGTCCATAAGGACCTTTGTCATCTCAACCTTTGATTGCTTGGTCAGTGTTGGGCAAGTCCAATCCCAGAAGAGCCTGCCTGGTGTCACACATTAGCAGAGCAGTGGCTGGAGGCACCCCACGTGTCCATGGGAGACTGGAGACACCCCTTACACAAACACTATCCTTATTGCCTGTGACAACAAGGGTCTTTGCTTTCTTAGTCTCTCTGGAAGTAAACTTTTCGCATCATGGAGGATGCATCTTTGGCATCTACTCTGGGAATGCCGTGGTATTCTAAACTTGGAAAGTTACCTCTGGATCTTTCCATAAAAAGGCTTATTGGTTTAAGTTGCTTTTGGAATAAGTAAATTGGCTATATTTAAAAGAAAAAAGGCCAGGCATGGTGGCTCATGCTGTAATCCTAGCACTCTGGGAGGCTGAGGCGGGTGGATCGTTGGAGCTCAGGAGTTCGAGACCAGCCTAAGCAAGAGCAAGACCCCCGTCTCTACTAAAAATAGAAAGAAATTATTTGGCCAACTAAAAATATATAGAAAAAATTAGCCAGGCATGGTGGTACATGCCTGTAGTCCCAGCTACTTGGGAGGCTGAGGCAGGAGGATCTCTTGAGCCCAGGAGTTTGAGGTTGCTGTGAGCTAGGCTGACGCCATGGCACTCTAGCCAGGGCAACAAGAGTGAGACTCTGTCTCCAAAAAGAAAATAAAAAAATGTCTTCTAGAAAGCACCTATGGGAAGATCTAGGTGAAAAGAGGAATAAAAAGGTATAACAGGCCGGTCACGGTGGCTCAAACCTGTAATCCTAGCACTTTGGGAGGCCATGGCAGGAGGATCACTTGTGCCCAGGAGTTTGAGACCAGCCTGAGCAATATATTGAGACCCCATCTCTACAAAAAACAGGAATATCAGTTTTGGTCCTAAATCACTTGTTAGATATACCTTTGATTTATATTCAGAGCATGATAGGAACTTTGTTGAAGCCTTCTCTCCTAAGCTAAAATGGAATTACTATACTCAGAAACAAAGAAAGTGGTTTGTTAAAACATTCCAATGAGGAACAGCTTTAAATCTAGAACAGAAGCTGGATGTGGTGGCTCATTCCTTTAATCAAAGCACTTTGGGAGGCTGAGGCAGGAAGATTGCTTGAGCCCAGGAGTTTGAGGTTGCTGTGAGCTATGATGAGACCACTGCACTCCAGCATCCTGGGCAACAGAGGGAGACCCTTCCTATATTAGTTTAATTGGTAGATGTGCAAAGACGTGCAAAGAACCTAGAAGTGTAGAGCGAAGCCATTTTTCACTTCCGTATACCAGGCACATAGTTGAGACTTGGTGATCAAAAAATACTTGTTGCAGGCCAGGTGCAGTGGCTCACGCCTGTAATTCTAGCACTCTGGGAGGCTGAGGCAGGAGGATCGCTTGAGAACAGGAGTTTGAGACCAGCTTGAGCAAGACCCTGTCTCTACAAAAAACAGAAAAAGTAGCTGGGTGCCGTGGCACACGCCTGTAGTCCCAGCTACTTGGGAGGCTGAGGCAGCAGGATCACTTGAGCCCAGGAGTTTGAGGTTGCAGTGAACTACAACGACCCCACTGCACTCTAGCCTGGGCAACAGAGCAAGACCCTATCTCAAAGAAACAAAACAAAAAAATAAAACCCACAAACAAAAATTTGTTGACTGAATGTAGTTTTGATTAAAAAGTTTAAAGCTCTGTACTGGGCTGATTTTTATTTCAGGTCTAAACTTGTCTACTCATGAAGAGTTGAACAAATAAAAGAATCTCTCAAACTTCACTAAAGAATCCCCACATATCCAGGCACAGTGCTAGGAACGATATTCATCACCTTGTTAAATGTTCCTGTAGACAAAAGTCTCTATAAAGCCTATTTTGCAGATGGAAACGTAGACTCTGAGTGGGGAAGTCTCTTTGAAAGGTCACACAGCCAGAATGTTGTGAGTCCCAGATCCATTCCCAAAGATATGTCTTTACCCACAGCTCTGGACTTAGCTGTATGGGTCCAGATTTGAGATACAGCAGAGTTTCATTTTTTGCTAAGTTAAAACATGTGGATTTGGAATAACAAAATCTTTAAAACATAGTAGCCCATATTAGGAAAAGCTGAGATAATATAAATACCAAGGTTTTTTAGGTCATCAAGAAAGGAATAATTAATTTCACAGCTGCCATATAGGGTTATTTATAAAGTCTATTCATGTTATTGCCACAAGATGGCGCAACATTCGTTGGTCATCCCTGCAGAAACCCAGCGATGACTTGCAGGAGGCATCAGGCCTTCCCAGAGCAATGTAGGAAATCACTTCGCTGTTATTTCAACATTCACCGTTTAAAAGAAAGCTCTAACACGACACCTAAATACAACATGTGATCCTGAATTGGATTCTGGGACAGAAGAAAAACAGCAATAAGAAATATTATTGGGGCCGGGCGTGGTGGCTCACGCCTGTAATCCTAGCACTCTGGGAGGCTGGCGGGCACATCACTCAAGGTCAGGAGTTCAAAACCAGCTTGAGCAAGAGCGAGACCCTGTCTCTGCTAAAAATAGAAAGAAATTAATTGGCCAACTAAAAATATATAGAAAAAATTAGCCGGGCATGGTGGCGCGTGCCTGTAGTCCCAGCTACTCAGGAGGCTGAGGCAGGAGGATGGCTGGAGCTCAGGTGTTTGAGGTTGCTGTGAGCAACGCTGATGCCATGGCACTCTAGCCCAGGCAACAGAATGAGACTCTGTCTCAAAAAAAAAAAAAAAGAAATATTGGGACAATTGATGAAACTGGAACATGAATTGTAGATTAGATAAAAGTACCATATCCATGTGAAATTTCTCTATTTTGATTGTCATACTGTGCCTATGAAAGAGAATGTTCTTTTTTTGTTTTCTACTTTTTTTTGAGGTGGCGTCTCGCTCCGTCACCTAGGCCAGAGTGCCGTGGCATCCGCCTAGCTTGCAGCAATCTCAAATTCCTGGGTTCTAGCAATTCTCCTGCCTCAGCCTTCCAAGTAGCTGGGATTACAGTTGTGCACCATCACACCTGCCTAGGTTTTCTATTTTTACTATAGACGGGGTCTCGATCTTGCTCAGGCTGGTCTCAAACTCCTGATCTCAAGCAATTCTCCCACCTCGGCCTCCCAGAGTGCTAGGATTATAGGCGTGAGCCACCGTGCCCAGCCAATAGAGCGGTTATTTTTTTAAAAAAAGCTATGTACTGATATAAAATGATCTCCAGGATATATTAAGTGATAAAAGCAAAATGTAAAACTATTATATATGCAACTCTTTGAATGAAAAAATACGGTTACTTTTGTAAACATACAGAATATTTCTGGAAGAACACATCAAAGCCCAGTAACACCAATTGCCTCAGGAGAGGGGAACCAGATGACTGAGGGAGTCACAGTAGCAGAGACAGTTGTTATTTTTAAATTAAGAGACACTCCAAAAAGCATAAAGAATAACACAGTAAACCTTGTGTGTCCCTCTCCAATCACATCCCACCCATCCCTGGAGGAAACCATTGTCATACATTTGGAGTTTATCATTCCCACAAATTTTATACATTTACTACATTTTAAGTATCCCTAATCAATGTGCATTATTTTACATATTTTTTTTGAGACAAGGTTTTTATCACCCAGGTTGGAGTACAGTGGCACAATCATAGCTCATTGTAACCTTGAACTCTTGGACTCAAGTGATCCTCCTACCTCAGCCTCCCAAGTAGCTGGGACTTACAGGTACTACAGGCATGTACCACTACACCTGGCTATTTTTTTAATTTTTTGTAGAGTAGAGGTCTTGCTATGTTGCCCAGGCTGGTCTTGAACTCCTGGCCTCAAGCAATTCTCTTGCCTCAGCCTTCCAAGTGCTAGGAATTCCATGGTGGGAATGTCCAAGTATAAAAAACAAAGTGCTGGGATTACAGGCATGAGCCACCGTACCTGGCCCATTTTGTGTATTTTTAAACTATTCATATTCTCCTGCACTTTGCCCTTTTCACTCAGTGTTCTCATTTATTCATATTCATATGTGCAACTCTAGTTTGCTTTCATTGGTATATAATATTCCACATCCAATACATAATACATAACATATCCGATATTGATGTCCAACTCTCCAAGATGGCCACAATGCAATTTCTCATCCCACATGCTCTTCTCATAATGAAACGCTGACACTCCTCTTATTGAGAGGTGGAGACTATCATGACTCCTTTGAATCAGAGTGGGTCAGTGACCATGGCAGAAGTGAAGCAACGTGACTACTAGGTTAGAAAAGGCAATAGAGTTTTCTCTGGCTCTCAAGAAGCTCCTTCTTGGAACATAGCCACCATGTTGTAAGGAAGCCCAAGCCACACAGAGAAGCCATGTGCAGGCAGGCAATCTGGCTGACGGCCCAAGCTAGGGCCGCAGCTAAGTGCCAGTA